AATTGCTAAAATGAAGGATAAGAAGAATCAGGATCTTAATGGCATAATATGCATCAAAGGTAGTGACGAAAGAGTCATAGTGAAGGATAAAGAGATTAAGAAGTGTTATAAAGTTATTTTGATAATCTCTTTAATGACAATTTTGAACATGATATAAGTTAGTTTAACATACCATTTAAGGATATAAATGATGTGTTTAAACGTAATATTAAAATATATAAGGTTAAAAAGGCTCTGAGAATGATGAAAGTAAAAAAAGTTATAGGACCATATGGCATTTCGATTGAGGTTTGGAAATAGTGAAGTGAAATAAAGATAGGATGGTTGATGGATCTTTTCAACAAAATTTGACATGCTTACAAAATGTCAAAAGAATAGAAGAAGAATACTTTAGTGCCTTTATACAAGAATAAAGATAATATATAAAATTGTTCAAACTATCGAGAAATAAAGATTATAAGTCATACTATGAAACTTTGAAAGAGAAAAATTTAATATAAGTTGTGACATGATGTCACTATTTTTTAAAGGCAATTTGGTTTAATGCTAGAATGCTTCACAACAGAGCTTATACACCTATTGAGGCTTTTGTTGAAGGGTTTTTGGGTAAGATATATCTACATATGTTATTTATTGACTTGGAAGAAAATATATGATAAATTTTTTGAGAGATATTTTGGTGGGTTTTAATGAAAAAAAGAATTCCTTTAAAGTATATTAACATAGGTAAAGATATGTACGAAGGAGTTGTAACGATTGTGGGAATGTTTGAGGGCTTGACTAATAGCTTGTCCATTACCTTAAAAGTGCACCAAAGCTAACATTAAATCCATTTCTTTTTGCATTAGTTATGGACAAGTTCACTAGACAATCCAAGATAAAATGCCATGGTGTAAGTTATTTGTCGATAATATAGTTTTAGTTGTTGAAACTAGTGATGATCTTAATGCAAAATTAGAATTGTGGAGGCATACATTAGAGTCTTGAGACTTTAAATTAAATAAATCTAAAATTGAATATATAGAATGTAAGTTTAGTAGTCGTATGGAAAAGAATGCTAGTGTGTTAAGTTGGAAGGTGAAGTAGTACCAAAGAGTGGTCATCTTTGATATTTGAGATTAATTATTCAGAGTGATACTGAGATAGAAAAGGATGTAAATCATTGGATTCAAGTAGAATAAGTGAGATAGCAAAGTGTATTGAGTGTGATCACAACAGACCTTTAAAATTAAAGGCAAAATTGTATAAAACCACTGTAAGGCCTGCATTGTTATATAGGATTGAGTGTTAGGCCATTACGAAATAACATGAGAAGAAAATGAGTATAGTTAAGATGATGATGCTTAGATGGATGTGTGGTAAGATTAGAAGAGATAAAATAAAAAATAAAGAGATTTGAAAAAAAATTTAGGGGTTATTTGAATTGAGGAAAAGATAAGAAATGACCATTTGAGATAGTTTGAACATGTGAAACATAATCCTATATATACACTAGTTAGGAGAAATGAACTTCTAGATTTGTGAGAGACTAAAACTTATAGAGGTAGACCACGAAATACACGAATGCAAATAATAAGAAATAATGAGATTTAAGGAAATATATGAAAATGTTATTTTTAATAGAAATTAGTAACTCAAAAAGATTTAAAACTATGATTTAGCATGATTCCTTTTTTTGACTTTTCATGCAATCGATCTCAAAGTTATGAATATAAAATTTAGTTTGTTGTTGTTGTATAATATAATTGTTTTGTTAAATAATTTCGGAATTATAAATCTTTTAGGAGTGAAAGTCATCTTTCTTGCATTGTTAAATTTGTCCTTGTATCCTCCATTTTCTCTATTTCAATAGGGAGGCAAACAGGGGACCCCAAGAGTAACCCCCAAGGCAGACCAAGAGCATGATATTTTCCAATGTAATCGTTGCTTCACCCCAAGGAAAATGAAAAACTTTTGGTTTCATGGCACCAGTTTTCAGCAACACCAAACACCAAATCATTGTTTCTTTCTATCTTATACCTAGAATTCATGATAGTTTGGAAAATCCCTGCTATCTTTCTATCTTCGAGCAGCAGCACAGGAGCGAAGGGAAATTTGAAATTTTGCCCAAACATGGTAAAGTTACTTTGCATCAGAATTTGGATGCAATTAGATTGCAGTTACCAACAGCAAAATGATTGTTGATGTAATCTGACATTACATTAGTTCTTTAATAACAAACACCGTAAATGTCTTTGCACCCAATTAAATTACTTGCAATGTGCATTATTTTCACAATACCAATCACCTCTCGTAGATTTTTCTTTTTAAAAAAACAATTCAAAAAGAATTTTTTTTCTTAAATGGTTTTAGGATCTTCTTTTTAAGAAAATGATTTCGGGATTTTCTTTTTAAAGAAATGGTTTTGGAGGTTTTTATTTGCGAAGTTAAAAAATAAAAAAAATATTTTTTTATTTACCTCATGTTTTTGTTGTTTAAATAATATTTTTTAAGTGCCAACAAAGCAAATAAAACATGAGTTGGTGATCCGAACTAAATTCATTCATTTTCAAATTATATAATGGTTATAATTCAAAGAAAATAAATGGTGGTTAAATAAATCCTATATGTGAATAAGTACTGTTAGTTTCCAACAAATATATTTTGTTCCTTTTTACTTGTATTGCATTTGAATCTTATTTAAATATATAAAAATTAAAATTTTTAATAAAAAAATTTATCAAATGTGAAAGGCTTATTATTTTAACAGGTATATATTCTTCAACAAACGATTTGTATCATCTATAAAAGTATTTTATTTGATTTGATATATGATTAATTTAAAAAAAATGCTTAAATTGATTTGATTCATTTTTAATATAAAAAAATTAAATTTATTTCGTTTAAATTATTGCCTTTATTCTCTTTTAAATTTTCATTAGTCTTTCCTTACATCAATAAGTTTCAATTCCATTTGTAATTAAAGTTTATATTTTCTTATTGACCTTAAATCACTATTGATTAAATTTTATTCTTAACATTCAACTTCTTCAACATTATAAATAGGACTATGCTTTAGTGCATTACAAATAATAGTATTGGTTTGGTTAATCTATACTTCTACTATGCTTTGTTTTGTTTTGTTTTTTTTTTTCCTTTTTATTTGTTCCATTTGTTTGTTTCTTTTTGCTTCCATTTGTTTTATTCCTCTTTATGCAAAAATCTGATTTCTTTTATTATTTTTTAATATTAAAATTCGATTTTTACAGAGAAAAATCAGTTTGCTTTTAGTTCTTAAAATAATATTAGTACAACATTCAAGTACGTTGATGTGCATTAGAAATCAGTCTAAACATTCCCTACACAAATACAATATAAAATGACTTACGTTTATTTTGTTTTTCTATTTAATTTTTAGTTTTTTTAGTGATTTATTATTATTTTTTTAACCAGCTTTAATAATTGTTAACAAGTTAGTTTCAGGAACATTTCTATTAAAAACATAAAAAATTAGACTATGGCAGGCAAGGGGATGCCCAAGAAAATATGGACACCTCTGCAGTTCTATTATTTTATAATACACTTTGCATATGAATTTTCTCTGTTACTGCAATCCATTTTAGGTCATTTTTTTTTATAAAAAAAGGTCTACATATACCTCAATTTCTTAAACTAATAAAAACTTTGAGTCACCTAAGCTTTAATGTCTTTTTTCTTTTATTCATTAATTTCTTCTTTTTTAATGATATAATTTGACGGAGTAAAAGGTATAGAAAATATATTTAGCAAGTAATAAAATTAATAAATTAATTCTAAAAGGAAAAAACAAGTAAAAAAATTCTGAGTAATTTCCTTTGATTGATTAAATTAAGAAGCAATGGAATCCAATTGAATCTTCAATCTAAAATATCTGAATGATTTATTTCATTTGATTTTTGCTCAAAAAAAGTTTATTCTCTTTGATTTTATTCAAGTAATTAATGGTATTCCTCAATTTGATAGTTAATAAATTGATTTGATGTGATTGAGGTTACCAAATATAATATGGATATGATGATTAAATTGTTAAGTGAATATTTTACTTCATTAATAAATTGACAAATTTTATGGAATTATAACTTAATAAGGTTTGAAGAAATTTCAACAGTCAATTTTAATTATATCAAAGGGACTTTAATTGGAAATTTAAATTTATTTGCAATAAACGTAATTTCTATACTAAAATCAAATTTAAGAAATAGCCAATGTTCTTTCAAAAAAAAAAAAAAAGAATAGAAGTATACTTTCATGCATTAATATTTAGTAATTAATAATGAAAAGAATTTAAATTTAATTTATTATTGAGAGATCAAATTTCAATTTTAGATATTATTATTCTAAAAATACTTCATTAAATGAAAGATTTTTTTTTCTAACACATAAAAAAAGAATTAATTTGAATTACTTTCAATTAATTAATCCTTATACACCAATTATAGACACCAATTCATGAATGTCTTGTTATATAATCTTTTTGAATCAGTGGAGAATATCTTGCAAATCTATATTTAATCAAATAAGTATTATGAACCTTAGATACTCTTTTATTATTCATAAATGCACGTTTTTCTTCTCACTCTTTAAATACGAACCCACCATACATCATGAGTATCTATTCAAGGATTTACGTAGAGCTATTGCTTGAAAATGGGCACCATCTTTCAAACTCAGAATCTTCTCCTCATGTTTCTTCTATTGATAGGTACATTGCTTAGATTTTTTTTTTCTTTCATTTAATACTTCTCGGACGTGTGAAGATGTATGTATCACTTTTCAAATAGGATTAAGAGATTAATATATGTGTAATATATTAGTATGTTTCTTTTTTAATTAGTTTTTGTTTTTTAAATATATTTTTAAGGATACATGTTGCCTTTTTAATCTCATTTATATTAAAATCTAAAAATTTCACTGATAGTAAATTAAATAAATTTTTTTAATATTATATATTTTTTGTGGTCGAATATATTTAATTAGGCACAATGTTGGGAAGAATAGAAGGGGATATATGTTCAGAAGATTTAGGTCCATGTGGGAACGATTGCGCTGCAAGATGCTCGCTGGGGCATGGCGGGGGTAAAGGGTCATGTGACATCTCTTCCGGCACTCCAACATGTATGTGCTACTACGACTGCGCTGCGCCGCCACCAAAAATTAAAACCTGCGAAGTGGCCCTCGACATTGGTACTTCTGGCTGTGATAACAAGGATTGTAACGCAAGATGTGCTGCAAAATTCCCTAGTCCTCAGGATGGTTATGGATTTTGCTACAGTCTTCCTCCTTATATTTCTTGCCATTGCCGCTATAAGTGCACCGATTATGGTCGTCGTTGACCTCATATTTTATGCTTTATGTTTATTTAATTAATAGCAATCAACTCTCTCTTTCAATTCATTACGTATGTTTTGTTAATCATTTTTTATTTTGTTATGTTTTTTTAAGTCTAAGTTCACTTCATTAGATGAACATGAAGTAAGAAAAACAAGCCTCTATACTGACAGTGAAATTATATAAACCGCTGTAATTTGTAAAATTTAAAAACAGGCAAGAGCACTGGCCAATCAAAATTTTTTTTTTTACTACAAAAGAAGTCACAGTTTAAAATAAGAGAAAGGATTCCAGAAATTTAAATTTAAACGCAAAAAATATTTTTAATAGTAATGCTAAAATAAATTTAAATGTAATATTTTAAGAATAATTGTGTAAATTAATTGAGTTAAATTTCGATCAAATTTTTTTTGCTATTCACACTAAACATAGCAAGACCATTTGTGACATCTTTGATCTCTAAAAGTATATCACCTATAATTCTTTTTATTACAATTTTACAATTATTTAATCATAATAAAAAATTATATAATGATCCATCACATATAAATATGAGTTTCATATAAAATTGTAATAGACTTTACATAATTTTGAATTGTAATTAATTAATGAGTTTATATTTAATACATTGTCAGTATATAGATTTTATATATTATCAGTAAATCAAATGATGACAACTCATTAATAAGTAAATCAAATGAAAACATTTAATTAATATAATATTTTAATTTATTTACACTTATTTTAAGGATTGATATTTACTTATTAATAAATTATCATCATTTGATTTACTTATAATGTATAAAATTTATATATTTATAATATATCAAATATAAATTTTTAATTAATTAAATTATAATAATTGTAAGTGAAATACTCTCCTCGAAATATTAATAATTTGCCAACTATCCACAAGCACTTTTTAAAGCTTCTAATAAAATGAATTTCTTCGGTGATCTGCGTTGAGCTTTATGAGGAAATTTAATTAAATTCACCATATTTAAGAGTATCATTTTCAATCAGCCACTTTTAATTTTGTTATTAATAGATAGGAATTGAAACTAAATCAAATTATGGAGATTAACCTTCGTGGAGCACATGAGCATGCATATAACTAGTTTTTGGTATGAAAATAGATGATAATTTCTCTTTTTGAGTACGTATAGTGTCCATTGCAATTAAATTAAATAATATTTTAAAATTCTTACTAAATATAATTTGGTTATTAATAATGTACTATATTTTGAAGAATTAAAATATATAAACATTGATTTTGAAATTGATGTTATATATATATATATACACACACACCGAATGTAGTTTAATAAAATAACAAAAGTAACAATAAAATCAAATATTAATTTGATACAACTAAATAATATTTTTTCGTCTAATAAGTTGTCTTATTTGATTTTTTTTACAGTAAAATTTTATCAATTTTAATTATTGGTATTTTAAATATTTTATTTAATTAATTATAAAATTATATTTGAAGACTTTCTCATTCAAAGTTTTTAGAAAGTATTTTTTCAATTTTGATTATTAAAATATTTAAAATAAAATAAAATCAAAGTTGAAATTTTTGTCTCCAAAAAAAAAAAAAAAACTGAGTAAATTTCTATACGATATATTGAAAAATTAAGTATTGGATTTTTAATACTAAATTCGACAAGCATTGAATTTTAATTATAAAAACTGTTTAGTATTTAATTAAAAATTAAATGCAGAATATAAATATATTATTTAATAATCGTAAAATATTGAATTTTGAAAATTTATCATTTTATTTTTTATTTTAATTTTTATTGCAGATAATGAAGTAGTGTTTTTAAGAGATAATAATTCAAAAAAAAAAATGTAAAAGAAAAATTTAGTGAACATTTTCTACAGTAACTAACAAGTAAATCTATGCCTATTTATCTTATTCAACACTTACATTAACTGACAAGTAAATGGATTTCAAAATGTGTCATCAAAAGGTGTTGAAAAATTTTCGTTTTAAATGCAATGAAAATTTTGAATGATTTATCAAACAAGGCCCCCCTAAGTCTTGGAAAAGTTGATTAACTTAAATTCATATCATAGTCAATATGCCATGCCATCTAAAATCTTTTCTCTAAGAAGCAAACTAAAGCATCAGTTCTGTGTATAATAATTGATTAATGGAAAGGTTGGACCAAGAATTGCTGTATAAACCTTCAAATTTTTAGACCAGAGTGAATGGCAACCACTCCCCCTACAAGATTTTCATACTCAACCTTCTGAAATCCAGCATCTGCAATCATTGAAGCAAATTTCTCCTGCATTCATCAATTTTCATAATTATTTATTAACAACTAGATTGAAACACAAAATGGCATCACATCAACAACAAATTAAACACAAGTAACTAAATTGTAATGAGATTTCCACATTTTTCACATCTTATGTTCTACCTGGTTTTCTAAGATGTATTAACTGGAATTTATTTTGTCTGAAAGAATGAGGAAGCTTAAATTTAGGAGAGATGTCTATCTAGATGACCATTGGCTGGTTTTCAATAAAACCTATTTGTTTGCAGTGATAACATTGTTTCTTTGCACACAAATTTTTTCAAGATGAGTTATGAGTTATCTACTTGGATCATTATCTTCAATATATATATATATATATATATATTGTATTGCATCATGTTTTCTAGCGATGCGTATGCAACTAGAATACCTTGATGTAATAAACCCATGTTATAGCTTTAATTATGGGGCCCAAACATTTAGAAGAAAAAATAGTCATCTTTCCAAAGCAACTCATTTGTTCAGGGAACAAAATCCTTGACTAATTGCATATTACTCAGAAGTCATAATAAGGTATGATGGACCAAGTTACAACCTGTGGGGGAAATTGGCGGATACTCTCAACCAGGTACTGGTAAGATTCTCGATCACCTGCAACAAGTTCTCCTAATGGTGGAATAACAGAGAAGGAATAAAAATCATACCTGCATAATGGGAGAATAAAGACCCTTAGAATAAGGCTAAAGTGACCCATGCCTCATAAAAAGAGGCAAAATAAACATAAAAAGGTTGAAAGAAAGCTCCATTAATACTATGAAATAATTTACCACATTAATGGTGAAACCAAATAGGATTGATCATTGTCAGTTGTAACTTGAGACAAAATTCTTATTATTTTACTTAACTTTGTCAGCATGTGCACTAGTCATGTATACAGGAATAATTACTGATAGAGAGAGATTACATGAACACTTCAAGTGGTTCCGAGTTAACAGATCAAAATTCACAGAGAAGCCTACTACTGATTCTGAGTTACCACTTCAGTGTTCAGAAAAAAGAGGAGCAACCACATCATTAATAACCAAGGAGCGGTCGGAGAATAAGAGATTGCTGTTTCAAGCCACCAACCTATTGACATTGAGAAATGCGATCAAGCATCTGACTAAGAGAATATAAAGGCCTTGCTCATAAACTAAGATATCTTTAAATTAACTCCAATGATCTACTAGGTTTTTATCATAACTAGCTTCTATTTGATGTGCAACTTTAGGTTAATCATATCATTTACTTATTTAACAGTTACTCTAGCAAAATAAGGGGCTCTATGAAACATGAATAATAATTATTTTCAACTTAAGTATTCTAAATAATCATCCTCCAGCTTTACTTATTCAGAAAAATGGAAAAGAAAGATTCTCAAGCTATTAGTTTCTAGGATTTATCACTGACTTAAAGGTTACAATAGTGTAACAGAACAAGGACTCTATTCAGTAATACAGTCTAACTTTAATAACGATAAAATAGCAAAATAAAATTTCATCTAAAGTAAAATGATAATGTAGTCTTCATAAAAGTGGCTTAGGACACTTTTATAAATGGTATACATTTGAAATGTTTTCATCAAATAGTTCTGATCTATATGAAAAGTGTGAAAGGATACTTACAATTCCTTAAATACAGGAATTTCAACATGGCTCAGTTCAAGACAAAGAAATCTTCCTCCCCGTTTCAAAACCCTGAGAGAGAGAGAGAGAGAGAGAGATGCTAGCATTATAGAAATTAGAACACAAACCATATTCCACTATGCAAAAGATCCAATATTCAAGGAAAATAGAGCTGGCAATGGAACAGATTATTGATTGCATAAAAGTGGGTCCACAAGTACACAACAAAGTATTGTTAAATTAAAGTTCACAGTATAACAAGAAAAGAAAGGAAAGTTTATTGCTGAAACCATAGGCTTATGATTACACCTGAACAAATGGGCAGTGAATTCTTATAATTATGGGATAAAGAACAAAGAAAAAGCAGCCGGCAATGGAACATTATATCTCTTCGCATGCACTGTCTTCACAAGTGGCCATATAATATAATTCATTTCAACTCAGAGTCTACCATCCAATAAAAAGAAGAAGAAATAATCTATTGCTGAACCACGGACCTAGAGTTACAACTAAACAGAAATTGTAGCTATTTCCAATAACAAAGCAATTAAGTCAGCTTCATACTTCATTTCACAATATTTTATAGTTACTTATGTCATTCATTTAACATTAAACTGGTTAGGAGCAAAAGGTAAACTCAAGGGCATACACATATATGCTCCTGGGTAGTTTGTTAACCCCATGAATTCATGCCACATTCGGGCAGTCTACCTCCTCACTTATTCGAGCATCAATTGAACAGGTAAGTAAGTATTTCTCAAGTTTACTTCACAAAAAATGAGAAATTATACATACATATGCATATATGTTCAACAAGGCTTATAAGGTAAAACATGTAGTGAATTTCTGACTCTCTTGCTCATGACATATCTAAACTCATGATTTAATATTGGTCACAAGGAAGAAAACGTCCCATTTGCTTCCAAGTTATAGAACTGGTTTCTCTAACTACTTTACCTGGGTTTGGTTTCTTAGAGGAAATTAAAATATATCAGATGGTCCTATGGATCAAAAGCTAGTGTGAACCAAGGGGAAAGGAGGCCAAAAAAGTTGTAAGGTTACCTATAAGCTTCAGCAAGAACTTTCTCTATGTGAGTGACATTCCTAATTCCAAATGCAATGGTGTAACCATCCATTGAATTATCACCAAAACTTAAGGCTTCTGCATCTCCTTCCACCCATGTGAGAGATTTGTCTTCTCCAAGACCTATAAGCAGAGGGAAATGGGGAAATGGGAAAAAAGAACAATAGAGATAAGAATGAAGGCATCCAGAAAAGCGGGTGAAATCTCTCCTCCTGAATAATTCTTTACCTCTAAGAGATATTATGTAATTCATTCAATAACAAAGTTATTAGTTTATTCACCTCTCTCTATGGCATGCTTTTTTCCAACATTTAACATGTTTGGATTAATGTCACATACATATATCTGAGTTTCTTCCTGTAAGCCATCATTGACTGGATCTTGCAAAGCTCTGCGTCTAATGCTGCTAATACTTTCCAGAATCCTGAAAGCAACATCACCTGCAAATTAAGCATTTTTAACCTAAGCTCAGATTGTACAGTTAATATTAGATCATCAAAATAGAATGAAGCAAATGATACCCCAATACTTGCCTCATTTTGATTTTATTGGGGAAAAGGACAGACAAATTTCTTATAAAGGAGCTCAGTTCCACATTAATGATTAGCTTAAATATTAACCAACTTCAAAATTCCTAGGACACCCTACTATGAGCATTATTTAATGTACTTACACTGTCCAAATTAATCATTTTCTATTAAAACTATACCAGTTAGCTTTCTTTTTTTGTCCAATTTTGAGTTCTTAAATATTTTACTTTTCCATACAATATTTCTTGTTCCGATGTTTACACTTTCTCCACTGCACAAATACAACATATATTTTGTTTCAGAAAGTGAGCCTACCTGTTCCACCAGCAACATCAAGATGTTTCATTCCAGGAAATGGGCTCAGTTTGGAGACCAGTCTGATATAAATTGTGCAGAAGTCACCAAAAGATGACAAGAAAGCAAAGTAGATAACAAAAATGAAAAATTAAGTAGAAAGAACCATAGAAAATCTAACCTATCCTTCCATAGTCTATGTAATCCAGCACTCATCAGGTCATTCATGAGATCATAGTTTGAAGCAACTTTGCTAAAGACTTTACCTACCATTTGGCTTTTCTCTTCTTCTCGTACTTCTTTAAACCCTGAAAATGCAACACTAGTAAGCTTCATTCCACAGAAGTTAATGATTTGTGAAACAGTGTAATTCAAGGAATACTGATACATTTACAGGGTAAAGTGTTCGAGCATTAAGAGCGAAGAACATCCGATATGCCTGTGGTTTATGGATATTGAATATGCAATATACTCAACTAATACGAGTAACCTATAGCATAAATGTAATAATGAGAATTGCTAACCTTTGAGTTATAACAAATAACTACTTCATAAACCCAAAATTTCATGGATCCATCTTTGAATATCCTATTTATTAAGCATCAAGCCTCTAATTCACGTTTGTATGCTACAAAATATAGCTCTCTGTCATATTTCCATCTAACTTAAAGTTGCCTGCAGTAATTCAGAGTTCCACATTGCATGGCACAAACAAAAAGAAAAGAAAAGAAAAAGAACTTAAAACAGAATAAGTTCTCAAGCAGAAGCACAAAGGCATCCATGCAGACTAAGAAACATGCATAGAGGTATTCTAAGATGTTCAATTAAATTGATAGAAAAAATGAATAATCATTAAATGAACAAAAGTTCTTTTCTGTAGAGAAAGAAAGAGGCAGAGAGATACCAAAACTAGTGGCATGTGAATGTAGTAAAGTAGCAGAAGATAGCATGGGCGAAATTTTTTTCCTGAAACTCTTAGACACCAGTCTGAGCGCCATTCTGCTACAGAGATTGCCTGGTTAGAAAACAAAACTCACATTCACTTTCCACTTAAAACTTGACAACAGAAGCTGTGCCGGGTGGTAGAGATTTAAGTTAACTAAAGAAAAATAACCTTATTAACCCATAAAAAAAGACAAATAAACGTTAAAAATATACAAATAATCGTGTAGCTTCACTCTCATGGGATTCCATTGCTAGATATGATTACAGTTTTGAATAATTTGAAAAAATAAAACATACAACAAAGCCCACAAACCCATAAAAGAAAAACACGAAACCAAATATATATAATCTCAAAAGGAAATTAATAAAAAAACGCATTGAAAAAAAAAAGAGAGAATGAAAGTAAAGAAAAGCGACCTTTGTTTGTGAAATTTCAGTGATGATGCAGCGGGTTAGAGAGTCCCACAAGTTTGTGAATTTTCTGTTTTTGCTGTTCTCCTCTGAAATAAATTTGGCTTTAACTTTGAAGGGCTGAATAGGCCGAGACAGTCGACGGCCTTTTTACCACAATGACACACAGTTAAGCGTCCAAGTCCAACTTCAGTTCTTTTTTATTCCACGTAGACTCACTGCCCAAATAGACTTTTATATCCTCTTTTAAACCTCGTCTCAAGTCTAAAGCCCCAAACTCCTAAGTAGGGTTTAGGGTTTATCATCTCTCACTTTGAGTTAGAGAAACACTGGCCTAAGTCTCCGCAGAGAGCATCTAACCAAACCAATCATTAAAAGCATAAGAATGGGAAAGCAATTCGGTGCAAAACGAGGTGCTCTCATCTTTCCTTTGCAATAATCATTTGTATTTTCTAATATTTTATTTTAAAAAAATTTATTGGTTGCCTTTAAAGCAGGATTGAAAAGGCAAAAGACGCCGGATAAGTTTGAGAGAAGTTTACCGGCAAGAAACAGAAGGCGTGTCAAAGATGAGGTTGCCCGTCGCTCCTCACCTACTTTGTCAGGCATGTTGATCATATGACCCCCTCTATGTTGCATGATTTTGTTTAATTTTATGGTTTCTTGACTATATTGTATTCTATTCTAATTGATATGCTAATAGAATTAGCAATGGACTTGCGGATTTTGGCCCTACGGCCTGATGTCCTGTTGATGAGAATTAGTGATTTTAATTATGGGATTGCGACCTTTTCATCAGAATTAATATTCTAAATATCATTTACTTGTCCAATACAGGGGAATCATCTGCAGAAGAATCTAGCGGTGGTGGCTCAGTGGAAATGAATTATAAGGAGCCAACAATGTATGATAGGTTGTTGAAGAAACTCAGTTCTAATAACAAATCTGTTGCGGATGCCTATAAAAGGAGGTATTTTCTTTCTTAATCTTATAGTTAAGCAGAGAGTTCATGTTGACTCTGGATTTTTAATAAACTATTGTGCTATTCATGATTTTTTTTTTTTGCAAGCTCACTTTAATTCAAACTTTTCTAGGCGTTAGTGATAGCAATTGCATGATGCATTTTAAGATTGTTATGTTTCTTGGCTTTTGTATCAAAGTGATTACATAGCTAGGCAGTATTATCCTTTTTTTAAAAAAAAAAAAAAAAAAACTAGTTTTTCTGCCACATGCAATTGTCATGTAAATTATATAATCAATCAATTATGAAACATATAACTTAAATAAATTAATAAAATAAATAAATAAAAGCCTAAAGATTAGCTAAACTCTCACATATAAAACCTTTACATTAATTAAATTAAGTAAATTGGAAAACCGTACAACTTATTGATATAAACTTCAACTACTAGAAACTTGAGAATTTTGGTAGGGAAAATATCCAATATAAGCAATTTTTCTTTCTAAATTTGTTGAGATAAAATAATATATTTATATATGTATAATGGCACGAAAAATTAATTTTTTAACTTTTTAAACTATATTTTTGGTGGTAGGAAAGCAAAATACACTGAAATATCATAAAGGATTTGTGAATAACTCTTTTATTGGACACAACAAAATTTCAAATATATCAAAACACTTTATATAATTAGAAAATTATTTTTGTGCATAATTGGCAAACTGAAATCATTTTGTTCCAAATAATACACTATGTAAACTCATAGTATATGTAATGACATACACTTTTGCTTTGATATAGATACATTTCTTTCAGTAAAACAAGGATTACTGTCAATTGGTAAAATTATTAATTGTATAAAATAACATAGACTCAATTAGAACAAAAAGGGTATAGATACAGTCCTCACAAAAGTTTCATAGCTCTTAAGCTACTTTTATATGGAGTATGGATATATTTGTTTAGTCGTCCCTTGAATGACTATTTACCTTGCAGTTTGTTGATAATTCTCTTTTTCTGTATAAAAAAGGTTTCTTGCTAGTGTGATGAAATGAAGCCTAACAGTGTTATATTATTCTGTTATGAACAAAGACAAGTTGCAGAAGATGATGTAACTGATGGTGCTGAATCACTTAGTGTATCAGAAGAGGAGAATGATTATGAGGGTAAGAAAGATCTTTTTATTTCTTCTTACAAATAATGTCAAGTAAAGGCCTATAGTTTTTTAACATAATTGCTTGCAGGTATGTTCTGCTCCTTTCAATGTTGTTAATTTTTACACAGAACAATTTTTTAGGTTAGCTTGGTTGTTATGCGGCTGCTGTCTTTCATTCAAATATTTTTGTAATATATAATAATAATAATTTAGGTGGGTGTTTCCTCACTCTTTGAGAGATGCCCTTTTTTGCTATTTGTTTAGGGATAGATGGGGTTGTATAAAGTAGGGATGGGGATACATTTTCTTCCCAAACCCACTCTCTTCCTGTTTCCCAGAAGACTTGTTAAATTAGCAGTCTTGTAGGAATGGTGGTCCTGGGCAAAAGGAAAAATCTGTATTAGAAGTGGAAGGTTGATTGATATGGTGGATTTTTATAAAAAATAGCAAAAGGGGTAATCTGGGGTTCATGCGATATATCCAAATGATGGTCTGAGAAGGAATATTTATGGAATTCTGTATTTATCAGATTAAGGATGACTATGGTGCCATGAGTTTGCATGTCTGGCATAATGCCTCAGATGTCATATGTCTAGGGAGTTCTTCCAAAGGGAACCACATTAGAAACAGTGTAGTAAGAATTAGATAAGAATAATTGGTAACTGAATACAATGGGTTGATCAATTTGGTGCTTTAGTTGACTGCAGTAGTTATTTGATCATTAATTGTTGTGAACTTTAATTGGCTTAGGTGTGCCTTTTTTACACTGTGGTATGCACATATATATGAGCACTTTAATTTTTGCATGGAGGGGCTGCACATGGTGGTTTAAGTGGACAACAATGCTTAGTCAATGGAAGTTAGCCATTCAGATATATCTTGGAGCTATAATTTTTTGTAAGGGATTGTAAGGGAGAGGGAGAAATGGTTGAATAACTAATATTGATCAATGAATGGCTAGATTGCATGTTAACAGAAGCTTTGAGCTTTTGATGGATGCAATTCCTAGCCTATCAAAAGGATCACTAGGTTTAATATTTTACGGTTGAAAATGGTATTTTTAAAGTTCTTTTATTCTTCTCCATCAAATTAATATATTTTGTATGGTAGATTTTTCTTGTGTATACAGACTCTCTCTCTCTCTCTCTCTCTCTCTCTCTCTCTCTCTCTCTCGTTTTAAATTTGAATGAACAAAGATTTATTTTTTCTGATCCATGTTTTTTTTTTTCATAGAAACTGATAATGGCTCACTTCGAATGCAAGAGCCTGACATGGTTGGTACTGAAGAACAGACTGAAGATGTTGAAACTGAAGATGACTTGGAGACCTCTGACAGAGATGAAGATGATGACTTGAGTGTCTGTGGTCCATATACTGTTGCCACCAGGTTTAATTGAATGCTGTGTTAATTTTTTGTAATTTCAACTAGTTTCCACCTTAAAATTTTGGTTGTTTAAGATTCACCACTTAAAGGTAACTTCTAGAGGGCTTAAAGGACAGGTATTAAATGTGTAGACTTATTAACTTGGGCTTGACCCTTGCTTTTACATGTTGCCTTGTGACTTGCCATTAAAATACTCTTGCAGTCTAATGTGAGAATTTTAACTTGAGAAAAAGTTTTCAGTAGAGTAAATGTATGAAGTCATTCGTTATGCATTTTTTTTTGGCCAAACATTCATTAGGCATTTAGTAACCAATATTTTCTGAATAACCTGCATTCTATGTGTACAAGGATTTAGTTTAAGTAAATGAAGCACATATGTTACACTTAGCAACATTTTAAATTTTCAAAAGCTTGTATTCTAGATCATATGAGGATTTATTTATTTTTTGAGCAATCACCGTTCTTGACTGATATGGTAATTAATGCATAGATAGTTTTGATTCTTTTTGTGAATTTTGTAATGTTTTCAGCATGCTGTCTTTTGGGATCATTTATTAGGTCATCTTTTGATGTCTGCATATCATTTTTTTTTTGTGCAGTTCATTTACTAAACATGTTGAGTACAAGTTGTCAAAAGTAGAGGCTGAAGATTTGTCAAAGAAGAAATGGAAGTATACGTGGGAGTTGCCTGCTGCAGACATATCAAAATGCAAGTGGGTTGGAACAGGAGAGTGTTTTCTAAAGGTATGTCTGCATTTTCTTGTACATTTTTACTTTTTTCTATCTAATATTGTTCCACCAATCATCTAGCAGAATTATCTGCTCCCATGATGGGTTTTTATTAAGTTGTGACAGTTTCATCTATCCTCCCTATACGTAAGTTTAATACCTGAGCTGTCTTTTGATTTGAGGCACATAGGATGGCGTGTTTCAACTCTGCTGGTTCCTCCTTCAATTTGCATCTTTTTGCCTATGTTACTTAGCTTATTTTGGGAAGAGCTCCTTCCACTAGACTCCATAATAAAATGGGGGTACAGCCTGCTCTTTATGGCTTTTAAATTTGAATGAGAGAAAGGAAAAAGAAGCAAGAAGGAAGAAAAGAGCATGATTTTCCTTATGAGGGGTTTTAGGATGGTGCTGATGTAGTTTCTTGCTGAAGTTTCAAATTGGCTTTGCTCCTTTCTCAGGTCAAATATAGGATTGCTTCTATCATGCTTGGGTTCAAAGGAATTGAATATTACTTCTAAGTTACTATGATAGTGATTTGAATCTTACAGATTTCTAGGATTTGTATGATGTGTAATTAGCTTTGTGCTGTTATGGAGATATTTAAGATGTCAGTAATAAGACTTTGCAGTGAATTCTAAATCTAATAGACAGAATGCCATTCTTTGAACTGATTAAAAAAGCCCTTTCTTCTTGGCTGGCTTGTGCTGAAGGTTTATTCCAGTAGCTCATAGGAGGAAGATGCAAAATATTGTTCTTTTATTTGAGTCCTGCTGATAATTAGGTGCTTTAGCTACCAGAAACAATGTTCTGTGTCAAAGTTGAGCCGAAACAATTGAATATGCTATTTTTTCCTTTTTTTTGAAATACATCTTAGAGCATGCTGTGTCAATAAAGGATTTGATTTCACCTATTTTTTAATTTCAACTTATATTTTTGCAGGATGATGACTTGAATTACAATTATGATCTCAAGCAAAAGTTGTATAAACACTGGTTGGATGTCTATAAGACATCTGGAGGCAATGACTTCCATTCATCTAAGCAGAGATGGTTCTTCTCTCTTTGTAAGCGTGCTTCATTTGGTCATCAATTGTCAATTGATTTCATAGCTGAGAGAATCTGCAGCTTTCTTGTTAATGTTATTCTTTGGATATTTTCAGTAACTCTTTTTGATAGCTTTCTTTCTTTAAAATGCATTTATGATGGGTGAGATTTGCTCTTGACCACATATCTCTTATTGAAAAAATGGTAGTGCGATAATAGCTGTACTTTGCCGTTCAAGTTCTTAAAAAAATCCTTGCCACATATAATGATAGCATGTAGACATTTTAATTATATAGCTCTTGCTGCTTTGTCGCATTCATTATTGTTATTTTTCTGCCATTGTTAGTGATATATTTTTTAAGTTGTGAAGCCTGAAATAGTAGATGTTTGGCCCTTAGTTGAAATTTTAGTTTACTGTTGGCTCTGATGGGACAATATATTACTAGTTCCAGTTATCATATTGTCAGAGATTAAGGCTTTGCTTGGTAAGAACGATAGAAAGAGGTAAGGATGGAAAAAAAAACTTTAATCTAATGTTTAAGTTTCCTAACCACTTTCCTACTTTGTAGCTTAACCATTGGATTAAACATTTTTTCCATCCTTACCTCTTTCTATCCTTCTTACAAAGCAAAGCCTAAGAGTTCACACATAATAGAGGGTAACCAATTTTCATTCAAACCATCCCACTAAATTTAGCAGTTACAGGTTTCATTTACTCTTAGTTAAGTAGGATTGGTTCTCAAACTGTTGTTACTTGGGTATCTAAATGATTCATCCAGGACCAATGACTTTGGAAATTACAAATAGATAAGCAAATCTAAGTTCAACTTTAGGTGAGAAGGGTGGTATAATAATAATGAAGGTGATATTGTTACTAGGCATAAATTCACATCATATTTTAATAAAATATGCATAAATGTATGAATGAATATGTCCCAGAGTTTGATTCATGTTTCCAACCTATACTTGAATATCTGTCCTCTTTTCCTGATTGATATTGATGTTTTTATATCTGCTGATATATGCATCCATATATCCACATTTTGAAGTCCCAATATTTCTGTTGATGCACATTTTGGTTTGAAGAGGAGTAAAGCATCACCTAATAGCCAGGGTAATCGCACTATTACAGATGTTTAGAGAAAGCAAATGTCCAGAAAAGCTCACCTTTTTTACAGGATGTAACTTATCTGCGTACCATTATTAAAGTTGAAAGAAAAAGCATTACATGTTTGGAGACAGTTGCTTGATTTTATTCAAAATTTTCATTACTGTCCTGTTTTTATGTTGGTTAATTTTTGTGCACTTATACTTTGATATTTGTCCTTTAAGTTATTGCATTTTAGTTTCAATAAGAAAAAGTTGTGTTTTGGTTATGTGAGTGATACTGTGACTGGTTTTACCCAGGCAATAGTTATCGGGATATATTGCACTGTGAGAAGAAACCTTTCTATCACAAAGGCCTGGAAGAAGACTCAAATATTATGGATGCTTATCTTATGCATTCTGTGCGTACCTGTCTTGCCCTTTGGTGCTGTGTGATTTCTTTTGTGCTTTCAAGTTTGGTTTTTGAGCTTGGTTAAATAATATATCATGCAGCTCAATCACATTTTTAGAACTAGAGATCTTGTGAGAAAGAATGATGCAAAAATCAGCAAGCATCAAGAGAGTACAAAGGAGGAGATACTTCCAGGTGATGATTTTCTTGATCAAGGGTTTACTCGTCCCAAGGTATATAGGCCAGCATCTGATGGATGAACGTATAATTATTACAGGTTAATTACACATTTGGTACCCAAACCATAGTCAAACTCTCGATTTGTTTCTTAAACTTTGCTTTTGTCCATCAATTTGCACATGAGACTAAAACCGTTTGTTAAATGGGATGACATGTCCAAAACATCCAATGCAATTGTAAAACACATGTGGATGTGCCATTTTTCAAACACGTGGCTTGTTTTATTGGTTGTTTTTGAACATGTCATTCATTTGACTGACATTGTTAGGCTCAGGTGCAAACTGATGGATGTAAGCAAAGTTCGACTAACTAATTGTGAATTTTTAAATTTTAGGTACCAGATTGAGAATTTGACTATAGTTTGGGTACCAAATGTGTAATTAACCCCTTAATGAAAAAAATGTTAAATTTGCCAGTATTTGATTGATAAGTCATGGCGAAGATGTTTATCTATTTTGACTGAGCATAACATTAGGCATATATGTATACCGGAATGGAAGTATTGGAAAGAGTGAAATTCATTCCAAATTTATCCCTTTATCCCATGTGAACCTTGCTAGCATTCATCTTAAACCATGGTAACTGTTAATTAATTATTATACCCAAACATAAGTTCTGGAAAAACTGAAACCCATTCCAAATTTATCTCATGTGAAGCTGCCTAGTATTCTTAAACAGACCTTGATAACTGTTTATTAATTATTGTGGCAAAAAAATAACCTCCAAAAAATGTAGAGACCAAAACTAATTCTGTTGGTTTGGATCATATTTCTTAATCATTGATCTTAATCCAAGGCTAACCAGCATATTCATTCTGTGTGAGGCTGACTAGCGTTCCTCTTAAACCTTGTCAACTGTTTATTAATTAATTTAGACCAATTGCATGTGCAACACCTGTGAAGACAATTAATCCAAAAATTGTGGAAGAAAAAGTAACCTCCATAAATTGTAGTGACTGAAACTAGTTCTGTTGATTTGGATCATATTTCTCAATAATTGATCTTAAACAGTGGTTATCTAGCATATTTCCTAATATTAAATGTATTTTATTCGTCTGCCAAATGGTAGCCATGCTTCTTTCTATCTTTTGGCACTAGTTTCTGCAACGATTTCTGCTTTAATGACTAGCATGTGAAATTGTGAAACTATTTACATGGCTGTGATTTGGTTCTGTAGGTGCCAGCCTGACTGAACCTTTTGTGGATCGTGTTCAATATCATCTAACCTGTTTCTGCTCTGAAAACAATTAATTGTGCTTTAATCAACGACAATTATTTATTTACATGATGCAGGTTTTGATCTTATTGCCTCTGAGAAGTGTTGCAGTTCGTCTCATTGAGAGGTTAATACAACTAACTCCGGCAACTTCAAAGGTACTTGTTTCTTTGATCACCTCTTTGCAAGTCATTTTTATTGACAGTTTAGAGATCCTCTCAATATCAATGTAATATGAATTGGTAGTACCAGAACTAGCTGGATTACACTTTGCTTCAACACATTACTTGCATTGATTTGGCTGATTTATCTCCTGGGTATGTCTCTAGAAGTCAAGATGTTTCTCCTATGATAAGTTTTAAAGGCAATAAATACCTGGTGCTTTGTCTTGGTATAATCAAGACATGTATATCTGATATAGAGTGAATTACCTTTTAAACTCCAACTTTGAAACCTTTCTTTCAGACTTTAATACTCCAAAATGCTCGTCAGAAAAAGGAATATCCAAAATGCGTGATTAAGCTCTGCCACTTTCTTGCTTATCCCTATTATTATAATTTATTTGTCAAGCAATGGAAATGATTATTTTATAGGACCCTCACCCTTATGAGTTCTTGAATAGTTTGTTTGATATAACTCTTTAAGGTGGAAAAGAAACTCAAAAAATTACTCAATGTAAGATTTTCTTACTTAGATTTAGATATGCTTCACAAAGCTTTTGTAAACCTATTTGTGAATTTGGTTTATTTTTAAATACATTATATTCTATTAAAGTAAGAATTAAACTTAGTTCCATTAAATGAAAACTACGGATTACTAAACTACCTTCCGAACTGGATTTACTTTTCTTCAGCAACAATGCTAGCACTCATTATTTTATTATTGGTCTTGCAAGCCTGTTTTATGTAATTATCTGCATGACTAGTTTGGTGGCCCGTGTTTTATGTACTTATTTTATTATAAACGGTCAAGCCTGTTTGCAATTAGTATATGTTAATTTGGCTGTTTATTAAATAAAGGAGAGATTTTGTTGGTCTTTTTGTCCATATTTATAATGTTATTCTTCCAGGTTAATGTGGAGCAACTTGACCGTTTCTATCAAGACTTTGGAGCTGAGGAGGTTGAAGGTGATGAAGAAAAAGAGGAGCAATCAAAGAATGCTAAGCCTCATAAGCCTCCCAAACCTTCTGATCATCAATCACTTTTTAAGGGTGATTCAAGAGATGACTTTATGATAGGCATTAAATTTACTAGGTAAAGTACTATAGATAACCAGTTGTTCACTAGAACCTAAGTTGTTTTCTCGTATATTTTTAAGAAACTATCTGATAATTATTTCTAGTACAAAATTTTATCAAGTTAACTTCTTTTTTATCCTTTCTCTGAATCCTGCTAAGCCATTATAAGATCTTATGTGTCCTCTAATATTATTTTTGCTTTTTTATTTTTTCGTCCCCGCAGGAAGACCATAAAGTTGTATGGTGATTTCTATTCCTCAGACATTATTGTTGCTTCTCCTCTTGAATTAATGACAGTAAGCATTAAGCCTTCTTTTTCAAATCTTGTTGCATCTTAGTTTTCTGACTAGACTTGAGTAAAACACAATAATAGTTCTCTTCACTCCTTGGTTTATTGTACAAAGCAAATATTGAGTTTAGAGACAATAAGGTTGTTTGCTTGCAATGTTGTGTAAGAATCTCACCAGACACTAAATTTTCAATTGATGAAACTAGAGGTATGAGTTGATGCATAACATCAATTGCTAACCATAAAGTGTCTGACAGCAGTGTTGTTGCAAGGCACTCTTTAGGCTCTAGGACCTTTATATTGCCCAAGGCACAAGACACAAAAAAGCCACTCACCCAAGTGAATTAAGGCACTAATTTCCAAAAGATACTTAATATATACAGGACAAAGAAAATTGTATGTATTATGTCTAATAAGCTAAAAATATATGATTTTGTTAATAAACAGTAAAGAGTTTACTCCATTACATGGCCTAATGTGTTCCAAATATCAAGACTTATCATAAATAATTGTCATGAAACAAAGTTCCAAGTTCCTTCGCTTCCACCTTCAATAAATGGTTGTGCATCAGTTATATTATTTATTTATTTTTGTTCTTGTAAATAGTGCTGTTTTTTTTTTCATTTGACTGTTGAAAGAATAGCTAAAAAGGAAATTAAAAACTAAAGAAACTATAGGACAATTAACTTGGACACACTATTTCTGTTTCTTTTGCCTTGAAAAAAAATGCATCTAGGTGTAAAGGCATGTACCTGATTGAAGGTAATTCACATGAAGTGGTGCAAGGTTCTTTGCTTGATTTGTGCTGCACCTTAGGACCTAAGCATTGGCCTTGACAACACTGTTGGCTGAAAGCCCATTCTATTCTTACAAATATAGAAAAGAAAGAAAAAAAAGGAGAGAATATGATGAGGTAGTTGAAGAAGAATATGAGCTAATAAGTGCGAGAAGTAGTTACTTATTTTACTGGTTCTAGATTCTTTTCTATCCAAATTACATGGGAATAAGACAGCTTGATAAATATTATATGAAATTCAGGGTTTTATATGTTTCTAAACTCTACATTATGAAACAATCTTAGATTATCAGCTAACCACTTCTATCATATCACATAGAGAGATGTAAAGGATCTACAGTAAGGAAAATCAATCATATTCAGCCTAGACTTACTCCCAGTTTTTGAAGAAGTTCACAATCAATGCAGTTCTTTATTATGTTTTTTTCCATATCTCAATTATCCCATGGACCAGGGTTTTACTGTGCTTATTGAAATATGGTTTTAAATGGAGTATAGTATTACAATATGATTCAATCATATTCAGCCTAGACTTACTCCCAGTTTTTGAAGAAGTTCACAATCAATGCAGTTCTTTATTATGCTTTTTTCCATATCTCAATTATTCCATGGACCAGGGTTTTACTGTGCTTATTGAAATATGGTTTTAAATGGAGTATAGTATTACAATATGATTCATAAAGCCGATCCAAAATGATGGGAGAAGGCTTAGTTTGTTGTTATTGTTGTTACAGTTATCTGAGGGCCTTGGTTTCTTTTAATTTAATAAGTTGAGCTTCTTGCTATTCATTTGATATTGAACTAAGGCTTTGCTGTTGATCTTATATCTCCATGCATACACACAATCATCTTCCATTTTTGAGGCATTGATCTTTGTTAATATGACCAAGCCATTATGATGAACTCTCCTTGTATCAACCCATTTACCCTTTTTGCGAATGCATTCAGATTTTTCAATATGACCTGCAAAGGTGGCATTTTCTTCTGTTTACTGGTCTATCTTCCCTTCAATTAATATTGCAAAAGCTCTTTTACTGACTATTGAGAACCTTGCCATCTAAAGATGGGAATTGATTCTTGGACAACCACCAATGGACATTACTAGCTAAGTTAGGTAGCAACTGTTAGTATTACCAATTACCACAAGTAATTTGAGTCTTGGATTTTTATTTAACATCGCCGGTTCAAAATTTGACATAGTGGAGTCAGGCAACCTACTTTCATAGAGGGAAATCATATATTATATCTTTCCATTTACTTTTGCTGAGTCACCTAATATAATCAGAAAGACTAGAATTAAAAAGTATGAACTTAAAGTAAGAAAAACCTGCAGTGTTTCCTGTTAATTTATATTTGTGGTCTCATCTCTTTGTAGATGTGTAATCTTATATTTATAGAATTAAATGTCCCAATGTTGCTTTCATGAGACTTTTCATCTTTTTCAGTTTGATTTGAAGCATGTTGATGCATTGCATGCATATCATCTTAAGCTCTCAGTTGATAACATTTAATTTTTGCTAGAAATTTGGGAAGGTGGAAAAAAATAAGGAATTAGACACTGACTACCTGTCTTCTATAGAGGTAATTTTTCGTTCCCAGAAATCTACTTTTTGGAGTTTGCATTTCTTCTTTTAGGGCTGCATGCCCTGTATTTATTGAACTTGACCAATTTGGTGTTGATGTAAAAGAGAGAGAATGAGGATGTTTTATTGTATGAACAGGTTGTTATTATTGATCATGCGGATGTAATATCATTGCAGGTACTTTGCATGATCTAATTTATCTTTTGGGCTTTTTTTCTCCTGTTTATTATATGGAGTAAAATGCCTAACTTCCCCCCTCCCCCTCTTTTTTTGATGAATGAAATCTAGAATTGGAGTTTTCTTACTTCTGTTGTTGAGCATCTGAACCATATACCATCAAAGCAGCATGGAACTAATGTTATGCGAATCAGACAGTGGTATGTGCTGTAAATTTCTCAAGTGATACTTTTTATCTTCTGCTTTTTCCTCTTTCTATATGGAAATAAGTAAGTCCTAAAAGTTGCTCTCTTCTTTAGGTACTTGGATGGATTTGCTCGATTTTATCGGCAGACAATTATTTTAGGTTATTATCTAAACCCAGGTAATGGAGTTTACGATTTTGATTAACTATGCCTATGTTTGCAATTACTTGCTGTAATGCAAAGCTTGCACTTTTCAGCTCCACCACATTTACCTCCTTCCCTCTTCTTTCCTATATGTTGAACTGTGTAACTGGTAGTTTATAAAGCTAGTAGCCAAGTTGTTTGCTTGATCCAAGAAATTTATTTTCATCCATGCAGGCATAACAGTTTTTTCTTTTTGTCTCTTAGTTGGGATTTCAAAATGACTTTTACTAATACCAATCTTTAACAAAGGTATCAGTGTGTACTGTGTCATGTATAACGCAAGATTTTAGTTAACTTTCAAACCATAAACCTTAATGTCTATTGTTCCTTTGCTTTTATAAGTGATTTTAGTATGGGTATATACGTCAGTGGTGTATGTACATATGTAAAATGAAATAGAAGGCCCATGAGCGTGCCTTCATGACAACTATTTCTTGTGAACAAATATCTCTAATCTCTTTCTATCCATTCGTACTCCAGACATGAATGCTCTTTTCAATCACCATTGTGTTAACTATCAAGGAAAGGTATGTTCATTCTCTTCCTTTTTTTTTTCTATGTTTCTCACATTTCACATAGGGAAATATTCTTATTCTTTGAAGCATTTCAAAACTTGGTTGCATGGGTATTTCTATCTCTCCCTAAACTTTAAGAAATAAGAATTATGACTCTGTTTGAAAGGGTTACATAGCAGGGAGGAAGAAAGGCAAACTTTTGTTCCTTTTGTTTCATTTGGTAGGGAGAAAGAAAATGTATGGGATGATTAGAGAGTAGAATTTCGTTTGTTGGTTTAGCTACCTGTTCTACATGCTCTCCTTTCTAAATATTTTACCCTTTAGTTGACCAACTGATTAGATTTTGAGTGCATTGCATGAGACATGCCTTTGTTGTTGGTATGACCTTTTTTTTCTGGTCAGAGTTTTTGCTAGGACCTTGTAAAGGGGAAATATGATAAAGAACTTGAAAGGAATTGTAGTTTCTTAAACTTTGTTAGAGAGAGAAAACATGTTCCTTTGTTTCTTTTTTTTTTTTTGGGGGGGGGGGGGGTGTGAGGAGCAATTGGGATTTCTCTTTTAGTGTCTAAATTAAGTAGAACAATTCGGGAAACAAAAGAGAAAAAGAAAAGAATGCTTTGAAGTATATGTTAACTAGTTGTCTTTACAGGTGAAGTCAGTGCATGAGCATAACGGTGTTCTTCCTAAAGTTTTATCCCAAGTGCGCCAGGTAAGCCTCACTAGATTTTCTTATTTATTAGATTACTCAAGTTTTCATATTCTGCCTTGTTCAGATGCCATTAACATACTCTCTTGAGCAATATCCTGAATGAATGTTGAGCTTCCAAGTGAAAAGTAAATTGAGAATTTAATATACTGTGCATCTATGCCCCCCATCTGATGCATGCAGTGGGATACACCACAGGCAGTAACTTAATATGATATTATAGATTTCAATTAGGTAACAGCATTTTCTGCATATGTTATATTAGTTGAAAAGAGAAGAAATTGTAATTTTCTTGTATATTTGTATTCATTTAGTATTTATTTCCATTTAACTGATTTTATCTCTGATGAGCATATCTTAGCAATTAAATATGGAAAAATAGATTAAAAAATTTTGGAGTAATGGTACAATAAACATCATTTGTTTATAGCTTTGAAGACAACAATGGAATTGCCTAGGGAATGCTGCAGCCATGGAAGAACCTTTATCACATTCATGTTCTTATTTCAATATTTGATTTAGATTATTTTCATGTTGTCAAGTAGAATTGTAATTTTTGCGAATTCTGTACCCTAGAGTTAATTAACTATGTTGCTATCATGTTTGGATTTCTCTAGGAGTTTCATTGAAGGTATAAAATAGGTCAGGTGGGCACCTGTCACAGTCTGGCCTAGGATGGAGTGGGAATGCTTGGCATGGCCCACAACCTATACAATATTAGATGACACTAGGAAAGATGCTGATGTTGTGTTGGGATGAGGGTCCTGGGCACATCATACTAGCATGGCACACCAACAGTCCATAATAGTCCTGTGTGGCACAACCAGTTTTAGGGGGATTATGGGCTGGCCCAACCCAACTTGACTCTTAATGAGGGTATTGTGGTCAAAGGGATCAAAGTAATACTTCCAAAGAAAACTAATATACTGGGTACGAGGTTTGTGCTCGGTGTTCATCTTTGTTCCAATGAAATAAATTGATTCCAATTCAGTACACCTTCAACAAAAAGGCATTTGCTACATTGCTAAAACCAATTGACTTTACCAGCTTCCTCCAAAACCTAGATAATCATTATATTCTTATAGAGCCATATTCCCGAATGCACGATTTCTATGCTACTTGTCTAATCTGGATGGTTTATTTTTGTGTACTATAGACACACAAGATGATCCAAACAGTGGCTGTTGGCTGTTGGAGCAGGACAGAAAGCAGTTTGGCTGTTGTTGTCTTGCAACATTCAGTTGCCACCAGCCCACTTGTTTTCTAAGAAATAATAGGTTAAGTGACTGAGCCAATTTGGCATTGCGATTGAGCTGTGTTTGATTGCAATCATCAAATTTGTTCGACCACAAAAGCAGATAAGATTCAAAATATCAATTAAAATCCCGATTCTGTGAATAAGCAAGTGTGGACCTGCATTTGATTGTTTTCAATTGCAAACCTAACTGGGTCAATGTTGTCTTTAATTTTGAATTAAGAATTAAATTTAGTATTATTTGAATTTGGACTTTTTTTTTTTTTTGGGTACAAGAGGGAGTACCATGACTCAAACCTAGAATCTCTATCCAAAACACCCCATCCTTACTAATTTAGCTAAGCCCAAGTGGCTAATTTGGAATCAGATTTTTTGGCTTTTAATATTCCACAATGAGTGTAGAACACTAACTTAAAAGTGGTTGTTGGTAGACGATAACATTAATGTTTGATTAGTTGTATTTTTATAAAGCATTTACAATCCTTCTCTTGTGTGTTCCTTGTGGCTAGAATACTTGTTCTCTTTGAGTAACAATATGCATCTCGATCAATTAGGTTTAAGTGATACTATTTAACGAGGGCTTGTTATCAAGTCTCTTTTTTATTGCTTTAAAATTTTTAGATAAGCTAGAATTTAATAGTTGGTACACCCACAATGTGAGTGGGTTTTTTTTTTTTAAGTTTTAAAAAAAAGGATTCTCTATTTAAGTAGTGTTTGATGTAGAAATGAGTAGTTTTTTGTAATTTTTAAAATGAGAAAATATGTTTTATAAAAAATATTGAAAGAGATAAATGTCCCTTATTTCATGTTTATTATAATATTTTTAATCTTTTTTGGAATTGCCGTCACTTGATTAGTAACACCAATTCAGTCAGGCAGTTTAATATTAGTATAGATATCAGGATTATTTTGTTTTCCTATGTATACCTATCAAATAACCCGAGTGAAGAATAGTACCAAGAGTACCACAACCCATGTAGTGATCCAACAAAGTTTACCCTTGTATCACATTTTGGTTAGACATGCCCTTGTATCCATGCTGCAAACCAAGATGTACCACAATCTTGGAAATCTTAAGCTACATGCCTTAAAGATGGCAAGATTAAGCTAGCAATGTCAAATCTCAAATATGATTGTTTGGCACGAAAACTGTGTTGTCTGCCTCACACTTAGAAGAGGTGCCACTTTCAACCACTTTGACACCTCTTCTGGTTTAAGATTAGAACCTAGGTTAAATAAATATCCCAATTTTTTTAACCAAAATCTGTAGGTTTTTTTCTTTGGTGATTCTCCAATTGTGTGTTTCTCATCCTCTATTTCTATTGGTTTTTAAATTTTGTTGCTATAAGATTGATACAGCTTTATTTGGATTTTACATCTCAGACAGATGGGTGTTTGGAGCTGTTTGATTATTGAATCAAGCATTTACAGGTTGCAAAAATGTCCTTTTACTCTTTTTGATGGAGAATGATTTAGCTTTTACTTTATGAGGGTTATTTTTAATTGTTTCAGTCTACTTCTGATTTCTCTCTCTGGATTTCTGTTCTGTCTCTTTTTCCCTGCTTGTTCTATATCACTTATCCTTTTCCACATAAAGTAACTAATAAATAATTTCACTTGTTGTAACTTCGTTGTAGGTCTGATATTGTTGTTTGTAATTGCCATCTCTACATCGACTGATTTGTGAATTTGTCTCATCTATGTTGTTTATGTTCTCTTTGCAAGTTAGGCATTATCATTTACATTATATTGATTTATTTTCTGCTCTTCATCTTTGACAGATCTATGAAAGATTTGACGCAAACTCGATAGCTGATGTCGATGATGCTCGTCTTGAATATTTTGCTAAGAAGGTTCATATTCTCAAAAGTTATTTTTGTGGTTTCAATGTGTCTTCTTTTGGGAATCTTGCTAATATTAGATTGCACTCATAAGGTCAAAGTAGAATTTCAGTAAGATTTTGTGAATGATCAAATTAAACAGTAAAATCTTACTTATCTGTTTTCTTCTTGGGAAAACATTGAAGTCCACATCCCAAGTAAAAGACATACAATATTTGGAGTAAAAATCCTAAATCTTATGTTGGCAGGTTGTGGCAATTTACACTAACTTGCTCAAATATCAATTAAAATTACATTAACTTGGTTCTGTAATAGGATGCAAATAATGTGCTAGATCTTTCTTCGCTTCGTTCACTAAACTACATGAAATAATAGTATCTTTCATATACAGAATAGAAATGTTAGGTAATTTTATAGAGGTACATACACATTGGAACAGATATCTGTCATCCGTTTAGTTTTTATTTGTAAAGGAGGAGAGTTTGTTATGACAATATTATCAGAAGAAAGCTAATACTATATTGTTTTACCTTGTCAACATGCTTATTGGTTGTTAGAATGTTGATTGTTAGGAAGCTCAACCACATGGGCACCTCAGTTTCTTATCTTTGAGATGTGCCTGCATGTATTGAACCTGAGAAGCAGACACTAAGAAAATTGAATATAAATGCTTCCTTTGTTCTAATTATATGTTTGCAGGAAACTTTTAAGTAGGCCATATTTTTCTTTCATAGTGCATTTTCCTAAAAGTTTGGGATGGGATGTGAAGGATGCATCATTAGTGGTGACAATTGGTTGGACAGCTCACCTCAATGAAAATGCACCAAGATGGATTGAGCTTGCTATTAATGAATACAACTTGCTTTTATCTGACCTTTTTCAAATATTAACTTGTACGCCAATGATTTTCGTGATCCAGGTGTTTCCTAAGATAAAAGATTCTGAACAGGTACTTGTGCTTAAGCATTCTTTGAAAATTTGCTGTAGTTGTAATATTACTTGTAAAGTCTTACTATATTTTTCTTCCGATGAGCTCTTTTTCAGGGTGGGATTATGCTATTTGCCAGCTCTTACTTTGAATTTGTTCGACTTCGAAATTTCTTAAAGTCTCAGAATGCATCATTCTGTTTACTTGGGGAGTAAGATATTCTTTCTTCTTTCATTGTGTGTGTGTTTTTTTTTTTTTTATTCAGTTCATTTTATGCTTTATGTTGGTAACCTTCTGTCTTTGTTATGAAACTTTACTTTCCACTAATGGTTAGTCAATAATTTTTTGTTCTTTAGTTACACAGATCAGAGAGATATATCTCGTGCACGGGTTTGGTTTTTTGAAGGGAAGCGAAAGATCATGCTTTACACTGAGAGAATTCATTTTTATCGCAGATATAAGGTTCTTTAAGCTTCTTTTCTCTCTGTATTCATGGCAAAATGGCATTTCCTTATTTAGACATTGTCATTGCCTTTTATTTTGGTAACGTTTTGTAAATTGTAACTTGAATGAATATGAAATCATAGTGAATCTTGTGTTGATACATGATTTTGATGCCTCTTAATTTTCCTGGTTCCTAGATTCGTGGTATTCGAAATTTGATCATCTATTCTCTCCCAGACAGGAAGGACTTTTATGCTGAGGTGAGTCTGATTACCATAAAACTTAATCACCCTGTCCTCTTTTCCTTAGCTTTCTTTGTAAACCTAATTATGGTGTGCCTCTTTTATTCCAGATTGTCAATATGCTTGAAGGGTCAGATGACTTGGCATGCACCGTCTTATTTTCTCTGTTTGATAAGCTACGGGTAATGTTCTATGATCATGCATAGGTCAGTTTTTGTAGCATGGAATGCATCCAGCATCTCTCTATATCTGGATGGGAGTGGATATTGTTGTGAGATGGTATTGGAGGGTGACAGTTCTGTAGGCTTTTGGCATTCGCCTTGCTAAAAGCAGCAGTATTTATTTGGATTTTTTTTCTACCTTTGTCATTATTTACACCTATGAACTCCTCAGTACCATCCACAGTATTCCAAGTTTCTTTTCCTTCTTAATGGTGAGCTTGCTAGCGCTAATATTTACTTTCTTCTGACTTGTGCCATAATAGCTGGAGAGAATTGTTGGATCTGCTCCCGCAAAAAGAATGATCAAATCAGAGAAGGGGGTCTTTGTTTTTTGCTAAAACAGTAGGAGATCGTATCTGGCCAGTGAAGACTGATGGAAAGCAAACTTCCCAGAGGGAGCTGTGACTGTCATGAGGCTTTTATGAGGATTGCTAACAAAATTAGAAAGATCATCGTCATATGCTTATTAGAATCCCTTGGTTCTTATTGTTAGCAGGCAAATCCATCCATCATATTTATATAACATAGATGATGAAATGTAGTTTTATTGTAACTGCAGATGATTCTGATATTCATACTGATGGTAAAATATTATTATTCCCTTATTCGAGTATGGCTTCTATTTGGTTGTGACTTTTGCCAATTTTGTTGATAAATTCTAGTAATCTTGTAGGAGATAATTTCGGTCCGTAGTTTTTTCTTAACGATCATTTTGGTTGGATGGGCTACCTAATGAATTAAATTATTATTTAAGGATTGGAAAATTGTGTTTTATGATCAGCACTCGTGTGGAATATCTCAAATGGATCCATAGTAAATAAATTGGGCTTGGCCGGCATTGGCACTGGCACTGGCTAAAAGGAGGACACAACTGGTATTAAGAAAATAACGGGGGGAGAAGGCAGACATTCGAGAAAATTAGAAGGGGGCTTAAATTGTACATGCACTTCAAGTTTTATTTTTCACAACTTAGTTTTTTAAATTTTTTAAGTTAAATTATTTAATTACATTTTTTCACAAGTTTTTGAATATTCTTATTCAATAAAATTTGTAATTTATCAAAATTAAATCTTTCAAAAATTATATAATTTTTTGAAAATTTATTTTCAAAAGAATTTATAATTTTTTTAAAGAAAATTATAAAAAGAAGATTTTATAAGAAATTTTTATTAATTGATGTAATAAAAAATTTATTATTAAAAGAATCATAAATTTTAAAATTAATAAAAGATAAGTTGATTTTATGATTTTAACCTTAGAGAAACAATAAAATATTATGAGAATTTAATGTTGTAAAAAATGATAAAGGAACTATCAAATCTTATCAACATTTAAAAATTAAAACTATTGAAAATTGTATAAAAAATACTATCAAATACTACACAATTTTATTAAAATCTAATATGTTAACTGAAAAAATTCATGGTAATAAATAGATAAAGACTTTTTCAAAAAATTCAATTTAATTACAACTATTATAAAATTTTAATAATTGATACCCAAAATATATATTTATTAAAAAATATATGACTTTTAAATTTATAAAAATGTATACTTACTATTATATCCTTAATTTAATTAGGATCTAATAAGATTTTTTTTAATGTCAAAACAATAAAATTAACTTTATTTTATTAATTTTAAAATTATATTTTTTTCAATAATAACTTTTTTCATTACATCAATTAATAAAAAGTTCTAATAAAATTTCTTTTTTTTTTTGTACTTTTTCTTAAAGTTTCATTCTTTACCACTCTGGAAGTCAATTTTTGTATAGTTTATAACTTTTGGAAATCTGTTTTTGATAATTTTTTTTCGAAAATTTATTTTCAATAAATTATAAATTTTACTAGATATGAATATCCCTAAACTTATGAAAAATAGTAATTAAATAATTTCACTTATAAAAAAAAATTTAAAAAGAGAGGTGTGAAGAGCAAAAACTGAAGTGTATTTAGAAGCACACTTTAAATGCGATTCAGTTTTTGCTTTTTACATCTTACTATTTTTTATCAAACTTTTTTGTAGATAAAATTATTTAATTACTTTTACCATAAGTTTTCGTATATTTATATCCGTTAAATTTCATAATTTATCAAAAATATAAAACTCACCATAAATATATTTCCAAAAATTTATAAACTTTTTGAAAATATATAACTTTATGAAAATTTATTTTCAAAAAAATTTATAAACTTTTTAAGGAAAATTATAAATAGAATTTTATTAGAAATTTTCATTAATTCATATAATGAAAAAGATTATTATTAAAAAAATAAAAAATTTTAAAATTAATAAAAATGAATTTGTTTTTAATATTTTGACTTTAGAGAAAGAATAAAACCTCACAAGACTCTAATTAAACATTTCATCTCTTAATGTTATTAATGATGATGAATGAATTATCAAGTTTGATCAACATTTAAAAGCTGAAACTCTTGAAAATTATATAAGTAATACTATTGAATACTACATAATTTTTTTAAAATCTAATATGTAACTAAAGAAACTCATCATGATAAATACATGAAATGATTTCTCCAAAAAATTCAGTTTAGTTAGAGTTATTATAAATTTTTAATAATTGATACTAAGAAAATAAATATTTATTAAAAAATGATGAATTTTAAATTTATAAAAAAATTGCATTTACTATTTTATCTTTAGTATAATTAAGATATTATAAGATTTTATTATTATTTAAGTTCAAAATAATAAAATTAACTTTTTAATTAATTTTAAAATTTATAATTTTCTTTTTAATAATAACTTTTTTTATTAAACTGATTAATAAAAATTTTTAATAAAAATCTTTTTTGTAATTTTTTTAAAGTTTCAAAATTGAGTTAAATAATTTTTTTCAAAATTTATTTGCAATAAATTATATAAATTATCAAATATCAATATAAAAAACTTATATAAAAAATAATTAAATAATTTTACTTAAAAATAAATTAAAAAATGAAAAAAGAAAGACAAATGTGTATTTAGAAGATCCAAAATGAGAAGTCTAAGGCTTTGAATGTACGATGATGCTATAAATAACAAGCGAATCCAACAAAGGGCAATCTCTTTATCTCTTTCGTTGAGTGGGTTGAGTCAATTTGAGATTGTTAATTCATTTTATTTATTTATTAGATTGTAATTTGTGCAATACATGAATTAATTTATCTATTTAATTTAAAGTTATGATTATAAAATAATATTAAATTTTAAATAAACATATGAGCAAAATATAAAATTATTATTCAAAAGTATTAAATTCCTTACTTTTTGAAAATTTTAAGTCAAATTGGATGATAAGCCTTTTCATAAACTATTCCTTAATTTTCTATAATTGTTAAATTTAAATTTGAAAATGATGCATTTAAATTTACAAAATGATGGAGAGTTTTGAAAAATAGACATTTTCCCTGGCTTAAAAATATAAATTGGATAATGCTTAAAAATATAATGAAGTACAAATTAGTTAAATTATCATTCAAAATTAAAAATATATAATTTCATCTTCACTTTACTTTTTTTTTGCTTATATTAAAATATCTATATTTGATGAAAAAATTTTCTTATATTACAAAGTTAAAGAAAATAATATTTTTTATTATATGAACGATTTGATTCAAAAAGTAAAAAGTTGTAGGTACCTAGAAATAAATTGACACAAATTTTCATATGTTTTGAAAATTTCAAAACTTAATCTTTACAAATCTTATTTTCAAAATTTTTTTAATTTTATAATTTTAATAAAAATAATTGTCAAAGTTGAATTATTTAGCTCAAAAAATTGACATAAAACAAACATAATCGGAATAATAAATGTCGCAAGTCATAAATTGCATAGAAAATATTTTGTAATATTGTAAATACATATATGCAAAATTAATTTTTTCTAAAAAAAATTGTTTTTAATTTTTTATAAATTAAAAATACATATACCTAGATTTGATACCTACAAACAAAAAATTAAAATCTCAATCATGACATCGTGATGTTAAAATTATATTTACATATATATATATATATATATATATATCCACCAATTTTATCTACACATCCACGTCAATTTAGTATTGAATTCAACAATCTAAAACTATATTTAATCATTTTTTATTAAAAAAATTAGGTTTAGTCTACAAATAAATAGTTTTTTTTTTTTTGCTAAAATCTAGAAATATATAGTTTAGTTCAGCTATAAAAATGATAAATATTCGTTGAAAATAAATAGTAAAAGTCTTTATAAATAATAGTAAAATTTTTTACTCCTTTGAAAAACAATAATTTCATTTTTTTCTTTAAAAAATGGAAACTTGATTAATTTGTTTTATTTACCAAAGTTGAGTAAAATTGACTTTTTATAAATAACAAAAGGTGAATTTCATTTTTATTCTTTTGGTACAAGGTATCGTAATTCAATTTCAGAAAAAGATTTTATTTTCCCATTAGTTTTTAATTTTCAATGGATACTTCAATTTTTTTTAATTATAAAACAATTACAATGTCTTTCTTATTTTTTCTCAGAAATGTATTTTTTACCTTACAAGCATACATATATAAGTATTTTTTTCATATAATTATATTCAATCAAAGTTGCGGAACTCACTTGAGATGATGAAGATTAAAAAAGAGTTTAAACCATCCGGCGACAATGATCTTAATGATAATGAAGATGAAAATGGCTTGTTAAGATCAATTGGTTGGGGGAGCTGATCTCCTACAGTAGATAATTTTCTTAAAAAGTCCTTTAAAAAAAATTTTTTTCATCTCCGTTTCAATGTTAAGTTAGTAATATAAGACATAAAGTTTAGTAACAAAGATATACTTATCATCTTATAAAGATTAATATTTTTAATAAATAAAAGCAAACGGTATTATATCATTTTCATAGCTTACTCTCTTATTTTTACCATAATGGATTATCCTAACTCAATTTTTCCATTTGTGCATTTTATGGATACAGCCATCAGTAATACATATAAGACAAAGAAAACTCACTTTAAGATTATTTTACTATTTACATTGTGAATATCAAAGGTCTCTTAAGTTTTAAAATTAAAGCAAATAAACCTCAATTCCTACATTAAACAAAATACAGTATTTAAATATTGACATTATAACTTTTATTGACTTTTACCTGATAAATCTGTTATTTTGCATGATAGGATGCTTGAATTTAAAGTTTCAATTCACCTAACTTGATATAAAACCTATTATTCTTGAAGGCAAGTTCTAGAAGAAGATCATTGTACGCAGAGATCTCACAAGTTAATAGCAAAATTATAAATAAAGAGAACGTTTGTCACACTAATATTTTTTAGAAGGAATATTAATTATCAACGAAAAGCCTCAAAGCTTTGGGTTGTATGTTTTGTAATTAACATTCTTCTCAGCAACTGATAAGAATCAAAATAATAATTTGTCACAATAAAAAAAAGAATATATGAACTGTTAGTGAATAAAAGAGATGAAGATGATACTTTACTCGATGTAAGTACAATTAACACCATAATATGTGCAATTATGGGCTAAATGAATAATAGAAGAAATTCAGCACAAGGATGTTTCATCTAGATGGAAGACAACGTTCATTAAATAGGAAAATAAGTGATTTTTGGTCTTTTAAATTTTATTAGAAAATTTATAAAAATAAAATTATATTTAAAATTTTAAAATATAAAATAAAATATATCTAGATTGCTAAAAATATATTTAAATTATATATTTTTAAAAAGAGATCATGTATCTAGATTGTTAGAGACATATCTAAATTATATATATATATATATATACTTTAAATTTAAAAAGAGATATATAGATAGTTTAAATGTTCATTTTAAAAAAGAAATAACAAAATTATTTGTTTTATTTTAAATATATTTGAAAAAATATTAGTTTAGGATAAATTTTATCTCATTTAAATTAAAATAAAACTCTTGAAACATTAGAATAAATCTAATTTTTGAAACTTTCAAATAATTATTTAATAATGTTATTTGGTTAAAAATTTAAATTAAATTATTATCTTACATGTCAAAAATATAAGTTATCTATGTAAGCATCCACGTGACATATCTTATCAATATAAATGTATTCTATAATATATATATATATATATATTAGATTTATTTTTGGCGAATTCATTGTTAGTTGGTGAGTTAGAGAAATAAGAAAAGAAAAAGAATGGGGGTTATTCACATTTGTTTGCAGAAGCATCAATGGGGAATGGTCTGCCAGGCAATTGGAGGGAGACATTAAGAGTTCTGCTGTTTCCACTTACAAGCTCCAAAGGAAACTTGTCCAGGTAGCCGTCGCCTCCGACTCCTCTAGCAGTATCACCTCCTCTTTCTTTGTCATCACCCCTAATTCTGTTGTTTTCCAGGTTCTTCCTCCATTCTTTCCCTCTTTCATTATTTACATCATCTCTTTGATCCTTATGAGATCAGATTTTTTACTTGTTGAAAAAAATGAAATACTGAAATCATCACACAAAAAAAAAAAAGCAAGTTGGGTTTTGGCTAGCTAAGTGTTTTTGCCTTGTTTTTCAATGATTGGTTGTAATATCATTCATTGCTGATTCAGTTTCATGCTACTGATAGACAGACTTTTATTTTCCTTGCTGTTTCTGATATTATTTGGCAACAGGTGATTACTGGAGGTGGTGGAGGCGGAGGCTTCATAGGAGGTGGAGCTACTATTAGGAAAATGGAGTCTAACCCCATGTAAGTGGTTTTGGACCAAGTAAAGGTCATGGGCCTTGATCTTTCATTTTACACAGAACTTTAGCTACTTAATAAAAAAGAGGTGTGATTGTTTTAAGGGTGTGTTGAAAACCAAGTAGAAAAAGAAAAAAAGCTAAAAAAAGCAGAGAGAAAAAAGAGAAGGGAGAGTTAGTTGAACGAAAGTCGACCCGTGGTCCGATTGAGTTGGAAACTTGTCAAGAGGTTTATGATTCTGAGTTCTACATTTCAAACGGTGAAGATCAGGTATGAACATCTCTAGGAACAAATCTAGGGTATATTTGTTGAGTCACTTATTTGGTGAGATTCTCCAATTGTTTCTCTAGTTGTTGTTTAGCTCTAGTTTTAGCTAGAGAAAAACTTTGTATACCTATTATTTGATAGTAAAGATTTTTCTAGTGGTCCATGATTTTTTTCCTCTACACTGGAGGGTTTTCCACGTAAATCTTGGTGTGTTTTATTTTTCTTACGTTTTTTATTATTTGCTTGTTGTCTATTGGTTCTATATTGTTATGATTATTGCTTCAGGTGCAACAAGTGGTATCAAAGCAAGGGTTATTTTGAGACATCGATACAAAAGCAACCCAGGATAGAAGTAAATTCTGTTTGAGATCATGTAGGGTGATACAAGTTTCATGATAAAATTAACAGCATCGAATTATTCAATTTGAAAGCCTATGATGGAGGATCACCTATACTGCAAAGATTTGTATGAGTCGGTATTGGGTGATTCGGCTAAATCAACAGATATGAAAGATGAAAGCTGAAAGAACTTAGGTAGAAAGATGCTGGTTACAATCAAAAAATGGATTGATATCAACGTGTTCCATCATGTAGCGCAGGAGTCAGATACTCACATTGTTTGAGAAAAATTGGCAGCATTTTATGAAAAAAAAATAGGTATAAATAAAGTTATGCTTGTTAAAAAGCTTGCAACTTTACAGTATAGGGATGGACGATCTGTTACAGAGCATTTGAGTGATTTTTAAAATATATTTAATCGGATGACTACTATGGAGTTTAAGATGGATGATGAAATGAAGGTATTATTTCTTTTGGGTTCATTATCAGACAGCTAGAGTACTCTAGTTATGACTGTTCTTAATTCAGCTCCTAATTATAAGGTGACATTGGAGATGGTAAAGGACAATATGCTTAATGAAGAAGCAAGACGAAAAGATGTAGACCCTAGGAATCAAGCTCTGATCACAGAGAACAGAGGTAAAAATATCGACAGAGGTCAGGACTCAAAAGGTCATGGTAAGTCTAAACATAGATCCAAGTCTAAAGGTAAAGTGAAGTGTTTCTATTGTGGTAAGGCAGGTCATATAAAATAAAACTATAAAATCTTGAAGCAAAAGCGAAAAGATGAGAAAGACAAAAGTTCAGATGATAGCGATGTTACAGCAGTGAATTCAGATAGTGATTCAGTTACTTTGATTTGTACACATGGTGATTGTAATCATGTTAGTGATCCCGGCATTGAGTTGATAGTTGACACAGAAGCGACATATCATTGTGTTTCTAAGAGAGAGTTGTTTACAACTTATAAAGTAAGAGACTTTGGTTGTACTAAAATGAGAAACAAAAGTGTGTCACAGATTATTGAGATTGGTGATATTGTTATACAAACTAGTACAGACTGCATGTTGACTTTGAAAGATGTCAGACACATTTCAGATATGAGAATAAACTTGCTTGCTATTAATGTTCTTGATAAGGAGGGATATGAAAACTGACAAAAGAATGGATAGTGGAAGCTTCTCAAAAGATCTATGATAGTTGTAAGGAAAAACTATGCTGCACAATGTATAAGACATGGATGCAATTGAACAGTAACCAGATAAATACAGTTGAAGATGATGCTTCAGTAAACTTATGGCACAAGAGGCTGACACACATGAGTGAAAAAGGGTTACAAGTTTTAGTAAGGCAGTCTCTTATTCCCTTAACCAAAGATATGTCTCTCGATTATCATTGATTATTATTTGTTTGGTAAGCACATCATAGAGTTTTTTTTTCATAAAAAGTTTTCAGAGAAAGAAAATAGATTGGAACTTTAATTTATCCTGACGTACTGTGTTCCATTGAGTGTCATTGTCGTACGCAGATATTTTTGTTTACTTTTATTGATGAGTTGCTTCACGGTAAGACTTGAGTGATATATGTTAATCACAAAAGTCATAGTACTACAGATATTTTTAAAATTTCAGCCATGATTGAAAAAGATGACAGTTATCATATGAAGTGTATTCAAAACTGATAATGGTGAGAAATACACATCTAAAGGCTTTAAAGAGTATTGTTCAAAGCATGAGATCAGGCATGAAATAACAGAACTTAGAACACCACAGTATAATGGTATAGCTGAAAGAATAAATCGTACCATTGTGAAAAAAGTCAGATGTATATTGAGGATGGTAAAATTACCAAAGCCATTCTGGGATAAAACAGTCAACACAGCTTGTTATTTACTTAACAGGTCACCATCAGTTTCTTTGGGCTTTGACATTCCAGAATGAGTGTGGACAAGGAAAGATACTTCATACTCTCACTTAAAAATTTTTGGGTATAAAAGCATTCATGCATGTGTCGAAAGAGCAAAGATCAAAGCTTGACAGTAAAGTCACACAGTGTGTATTTGTAAGATATAGTGATGAAAAATTTGGCTATAGGGTATGGGATCTATTGAAGAGAAAGACAGTCAGAAACAGAGATATGGTCTTTCATGAAAAAGAAACTATAACAAACCTTGAGAAAAATGAGAAGACTATAGAGGTTACTGTTGAGTGTGATATTTCAACACCAATAGAGATTCTACAAGAAAGAGCCACAGATGGTGGAAATGAGTAAGAAACAAAACTTGAAGATATGAATGAGCTAGCCACAATTGGTGATGAGTTAGATGCAATTAATTTTAAACAGAGAGAGCAATCCTCTCTACCTGAAAGTGTTGAGTAGGGAGAGCTACCTTCGATATCAAGTGATGTAGAGTCTTAACCTAGGAGATCTACTAGAGAGCATAGGCCATCTACCAGGTATCCAAGTTCAGATTTTATTTTAGTTACCAGTGAAGGGGAGCCAGAAACTTTCAAGATGTGTAGGCTACTTCGGATAGAGAATATGAGTTAAAAGCAATGAAAGAAGAGATTGAGTCATTATAAAAAAATGATACTTATGATCTTGCTAAACTTTCAAAAGGGAAGAGACCATTAAAGAATAAATGGGTGTTCAAATTGAAAAAAGATGGTGACAAACTAGTAAGATACAAAGCTCGATTGGTAGTAAAAGGTTTTTTTCAAAAATCAGGCATCAATTTTGATGAGATCTTTACTCTAGTTGTAAAGATGAGTTCTATTCGAGTGGTATTGGGATTAACAGCTAGTTTGAATATTAAGCTTGAGCAACTTGATGTTAAAACTGCATTTTTGCATGGTGATTTACAGAAAGACATTTATATGAATCAACCTGAAGGTTTTGAAGTGAAAGGAAAAGAGCACTTAGTTTACAAATTGAAAAAAAAGCTTGTATGGCTTGAAACAAGCTCCGTGACAGTGGTATAAGAAGTTTGATTCTTTTATGGTGAGTCATAGCTATAAAAGAACAGTAATGGATTCTTGTGTGTAAGTTAAATAATTTTCTAATGATAACTTCATTATCCTATTATTATATGTTGATAATATATTGATTGTAGGACAAGATGCTAATATGGTTTACAGGTTGAAAGAATAATTGTTTAAGTCCTTTGATATGAAGGATTTAGGTCCAACAAAATAGATTCTTGGTATAGACATTATCTGAGATAAAAGAGCTGAAAAGCTGTGGTTGTCACAGAAAAAGTATGTTGAACGAGTACTTAGTAGATTCAACATGCAACATGCTAAATTAGTTAGCAGTCTAATTATCAATCATTTTTATCTAAGTAAGAAATCTTATCTAGTGTCTAAGGAAGAGCAACTAACTATGTCTAGTATTGTTATTCTTTTGTAGTCGATTCTTTAATGTATCTTATGATTTGTACAAGACCTGACATTGCTCATGCAGTTGGTGTAGTGAGCAGATTTTTTTTTAATCTGGGGAAGGTTCACTGGAAAGTAGTGAATAGATTTTTAGATATTTGAGGGGTACCTTAAAAATGTGCTTGACTTATAGAGTTTCACAATCAGTTTTAGAAAGGTTTACTGATGCTGACATGACAGACGATCTTGATGGTAAAAAATCTACTTCAGGATATTTGTTCACTTTTGCAGGAAGAGCTGTTTCTTAGCAATCTAAGTTGTAGAAGTGCGTTACTTTATCAACTACAGAGGCTGAGTATATTGCAGCAACCAAAGCATGTAAAGAAATGCTTTGGTTGAAATATTTTCTTCTTGAATTGAGGTTGAATAAAAAAGAATATGTGATATTTTGTGATAGCTAGAGTGCTTTAGATTTGAGTAAGAATGCCATATACCATGCTAAAACAAAGCACATTGATGTTAGATATCATTGGTTATGTTTAGTGATTAAAGAATATCAGATGCTGTTGAAAAAAGTTCATACTTATAAGAATGTAGTAGATATGTTGATTAAGATACTTCTCAGGAAAAAGCTTGAGCTTTGCAGTAACTTAGCCAGAATGAGTTCCTTGGCCAAGGTAAGTTCCAAATGACATTGTTATGGTGATGAATCTCCTCTTAATGGGGCTTAAGGGAAAGATTGTTAGGAAAATGGGATCCAGTCCCATGTAAGTGGTTTGGGACCAAGTAAAGGCCATTGGCCTTGATCTTTCATTTTACACAGAGCCTTTAGCTATTTAATAAAAAAGAGGTGGGGTTGTTTTAAGGGTGTGTCGAAAACCAAATAGAAAAAGAAAAAAAGCCAAAAAAAGTAGAGAGAAAAAAGAGATAAGAGAGTTAGTTGAACGGAAGTCGATCTGTGGTCCGATTAAGTTAAAATCTTGTCAGAAGGTTTATGATTCAAAGTTCTACATTTCGAATGGTGAAGATCGGGTTTGAAGCTCTCTAGGAACAAATTCAGGGTGTATTTGTTGAGTCACTTATTTGGTGAGATTTCTCCAATTGTTTCTCTAGTTGTTGTTTAGCTCTAGTTTTAGCTAAAGAAGAACTTTGTATACATATTATTTGATAGTGAAGATTTTTCTGGTGGTCCGTGATTTTTTTCCTCTACATTGGATGGTTTTTCACGTAAATCTTAGTGTGTTTTATTTTTCTTGCATTTTTTATTATTGATTGTTGTCTATTACTTTTATATTGTTGTGATTATTACTTCAGGCGCAACAGTTACTGCTGTTGCTCCTACTGGAAGCACTGTCATAACCGTTGAAGCTCTTGCAGCTGAAGAGACAAAGAAAAAAGAGAAAGAAGAGAGTGAGGATGAAGATATGGGATTCTCTCTCTTTGATTGAATTTCTTTAATGCCTTCATGTCCTTCTAGTTCAAAGCAAGTTATTGTTATGTTTTCACGTTTCTTTGGTCCTTATAAGCAGTTGTATGTTGAAGTTTTACCCCACCGGTGAATTAGATTTTTGGATGACATTTGGGTTCTTTTATGAGTTAGGAAATGGCATTTTCAAGATGAATTTGACAATTTTATGAGTATGTGGTTTCCTTTCTTGTTGAGCTTCCTTCTATGTTAAAAATCTGGTTTTGTTTCAATTTAAGTCCTTTCCTTTACACTGTGCCATTGATTTTACGGTTACTTAGCTTTTGTTTTGGTAAAGGACTAAAAAGAAATTTTGAATTGAAGAAATAAGCTACTTTTCATTTTAATTAATAATTTTGCTATTTGGTCATAACTCATAATGCTAAAGTAAGCCATAATATAGGTTTTTAGGAGCCTAGAGTGGATCAAAATTCAGAACTTTCATTGGATAAAAGAAATGTTGAAGGAGAAAGCCTTTGATGCTACTCTTATATTTTTATCAATCAAGCGATTGCTAGATAAGAAATGTAGAATTACAAGCTTCTTTTATAGATAAAAAGTGTTGCTATTTTCATTAGGAGGATGCATCTGCATGCATAAACAATGTTGAGCACTTGATAGACCTTAGTAACTAATAATGGAAGATTATAATAGTAATGAAAGAGGTACTTAATAGAATTTAAGTGTAGTAGTTATAGTTGTGCCCCTTGTTAAGAGGCAACTTAAACATGATAGTTTTTGGCAAAAAAAAAAAAAAGAGTCACTAAATTAATAAGATATTAGAGATGAAGTTTTCAATTCAAATCTTTGAATAGGAAAGTCAATGGATAGGATATGGGATAGAATATTTTTTATTTTCTTCTTAGATTTTTTATATTATATATATCATTGTATCTATAGTCATATATTTTAAATTCATCATCATTCCCATTTTGTAAGGATTTAACAGAATCTTTATACTGTAATTTAATAAAAAATTAGTTTCTATTTTACTGAAAAAGGTCATATAAAATAACTATAAAATTTGATAGCAACAAAGATGAAAAATAAGAGTTCAGATTAAAGCAATGTTACAGCAGTAATCAATATATTCATACTTTTTTGTAACATAGTATTGTAATCATGTTAATGATCAATGATGATATAGTTTGACACAAAGTGTATATCATTGTATTCCTAAGAAGAATTGTTTACACTTATAAATTAAACTTTTTACCAAGATGAAAAACAGGTTGTCAAAAATGTTGAGATTGTGATATTCTTCAATAAACACGCATTTGACTTATGAAGGATTCAACACTTCAGATATAGAAAACTTGCTTCTTAAACTTTCCTTGATAAAGAGTTTGATACTGATAAAATGGATAGTGGAAGCTTCTCAAAGGATCTATGATAGTTACAAGAGGAAAATTATACTGCACAATGTATAAGACATAGATACAATTGAACGGTAACCAGATAAATACAGTTAAAAATGATGCTTCGATAAACTTGTGACACAGAAGGCTGGCACACATGAATGAAAAGGGGTTACAGGTTTTAGCAAGACAGTCTCTTATTCCCGTAACCAAAGATATGTCTCTCGATTCATGTGATTATTATTTGTTTGGTAAGCATCATAGAGTTTCATTTCGTAAAAGTTCTTAGAGAAAAGAAAATAAATTAGAATTAATTTATCCTGACATATGTGGTCCCATTGAGGTTGAGTCATTAAGTGGTAGCAGATATTTTGTTACTTTTATTGATGATGCTTCACGTAAGACTTGAGTGTATATGTTGAAATACAAAAGTCAAGTACTGCAGTATTTTTAAAAATTTCATGCCATGGTTGAAAAGATGACAGGGTTATCCTTGAAGTGTATTCGAACTGATAATGGTGAGAAATACACATCTAAAGGCTTTGAAGAGTATTGTTCAAAGCATGAGATCAAGCATGAGATGACAGAACTTGGAACACCACAGCATAATGGTATAGCTGAAAGAATAAATCACACCATTGTGAAAAAAGTCAGATGTATGTTGAGGATGGTAAAATTATCAAAGCCATTCTGGGGTGAAGCAGTCAACACAACTTGTTATTTACTTAACAGGTCACCATCAGTTCCTTTGGGCTTTGACATTCCATAATAAATATGGATAAAAAAAGATACTTCATACTCTCACTTGAAAATTTTTGGGTGTAAAGCATCATGCATGTGTTGAAAGAGCAGAAATCAAAGCTTGACAGTAAAGCCACACAGTGTGTATTTGTAGGATATGGTGATGAGAAATTTGGTTATAAGGTATGAGATCCAGTAAAGAGAAAGACAGTCAGAAACAAAGATATGATCTTTCATGAAAAAGAAACCATAGTAAATCTTGAAAAAAATGAGAAGACTATACGGGTTACTATTGAGTGTGATATTTCAACACCAACAAGGATTCCACAGGAAAGAGCCACAGAAGGTGGAAATGAGTAAGAAACAGAACTTGAAGATATGAATGAGCTAGCCATAGTTGGTGATGAGCCAGATGCAATTAGTTTTGAGCAGGAGGAGTAATCCTCTCTACCTGAGAGTGTTGAGTAGGGGGAGCTACCTTCGATATCAAGTGATGTAGAGTCTCAACTTAAGAGATCTACTAGAGAGCATAGGCCACTACCAGTATCCAAGTTTAGATTTTATTTTAGTTATTAGTGAAGGAGAGCCAGAAAGCTTTCAAGATGTGCAGGCTACTCCGGATAGAGAGTACTAATTAAAAGTAATGAAAGAAGAGATTGAGTCATTACAAAAAAATGATACTTATGATCTTGCTAAACTTCTAAAAGGGAAGAGGCCATTAAAGAATAAATGGGTGTTCAAATTGAAAAAAGATGTGACAAACTATTAAGGTACAAAGCTCGATTGATAGTAAAAAGTTTTTTTCAGAAACCAAGCATCGATATTGATGAGATCTTTGCTCTAGTTGTAAAGATGAGTTCTATTCGAGATGTATTGGGATTAGCAGCTAGTTTGAATATGGAGCTTGAGCAACTTGATGTTAAAACTACATTTTTGCATGGAGATTTACAAGAAGACATTTATATGAATCAGCCTGAGGGTTTTGAAGTGAAAGGAAAAGAGCACTTAGTTTGTAAATTAAAGAAAAACTTGTATAGCTTGAAACAAGCTCCGTGACAGTGGTATAAGAAGTTTGATTCTTTTATGGTGAGTCATAGCTATAAAAGAACAGTAATGGATTCTTGTGTGTATGTTAAATAATTTTTTAATGGTAACTTCATTATCTTATTATTATATATTGATGATATGTTGATTGTATGATAAGATGCTAGTATGATTTACAGGTTGAAAGAATAATTGTCTAATTCTTTTGATATGAAAGATTTAGGTCCAACAAAACAGATTCTTGGTATAGACATTATCCAAGATAAGAGAGTTGAAAAGCTGTGGTTGTCACAGGAAAAATATGTTGAACGAGTGCTTAGTAGATTCAATATGCAATATGCTAAATTAGTTAGCAGTCCACTTGCCAATTATTTTCATCTAAGTAAGAAATCTTATCCAGTATCTAAGGAAAAGCAACTAACTATGTCTAGTATTCTTTATTCTTCTGTAGTCGATTCTTTAATGTATCTTATGGTTTGTACAAGACCTGACATTGTTCATGCAGTTGGTATAGTGAGCAGATTTCTTTCTAATCTGGGAAAGGTTCATTGGGAAGCAGTGAAATTGATTTTTAGATATTTAAGGGGTACCTCAAAAATGTGCTTGACTTATGAAGTTTCACAATCAGTTCTAGAAGGGTTTACTGATGTTGACATGACAGGTGATCTTGATGGTAGAAAATCTACTTCAGGGTATTTGTTCACTTTTGCAAGAGGAGATGTATCTTGGCAATCTAAGTTGTAGAAGTGTGTTACTTTATCAACTACAAAGACTGAGTATATTGCAGCAACAGAAGCATGTAAAGAAATACTTTGGATGAGACGTTTTCTTCTTGAATTGGGGTTGAATCAAAAAGAATATGTGATATTTTATGATAGCCAGAGTGCTTTAAATTTGAGTAAGAATGCCATGTACCATGCTAAAACAAAGCACATTGATGTTAGATATCATTGGTTACGTTCAGTGATTGAAGAACATCAGATGCTGTTGAAAAAAGTTCATACTGATAAGAATGTAGTAGATATGTTGACTAAAATACTTATCAGGAAAAAGGTTGAGCTCTGTAGTAATTTAGCCAGAATGAGTTCCCTGGCCAAGGTAAGTTTCAAATGACACTGTTATGATGATGAATCTCCTCTAAATGGGGCTGAAGGGAGAGATTGTTAGAAAAATGGGGTCCAGTCCCATGTAAGTGGTTTGGGACCAAGTAAAGGCCATGAGCCTTGATCTTTCATTTTACACAGAGCCCTAACTACTTAATAAAAAAGATGTGGGGTTGTTTTAAGGGTGTGTCGAAAACCAAGTGGAAAAAAAAAAGCCAGAAAAAACAGAGAAAAAAAAGAGATGGGAGAGTTAGTTGAACGGAAGTCGATCCATGGTCCGATTGAATTAAAACCTTGTTAGAAGGTTTATGATTCAGAGTTCTACATTTTGAACGGTAAAGATCGGGTTTGAAGCTCTCTAGGAACAAATTCATGGTGTATTTATTGAGTCACTTATTTGGTGATATTTTTTCAATTGTTTCTCTAGTTGTTGTTTAGCTCTAGTTTTAGCTAAAGAAGAACTTTGTATACCTATTATTTGATAGTGAAGATTTTTTGGTGGCCCATGGTTTTTTTCCTCTACACTAGAGGATTTTTCACTTAAATCTTAGTGCATTTTATTTTTCCTGCATTTTTTTATTATTGATTATTGTCTATTGCTTTTATATTGTTGTGATTATTGCTTTAGGCCCAACAGCTACTG